CCTCTCTCATTCCTCTTTCTTTCCTGTTCCCCACCTACTGTTGAAAATCCAGACCAGAGTCACAGACTCTTTTGTTTACAAGTGAATAGAAAGTGAACCTCTAAGTATTCCCCTTTGGCGTGCTGAATATTTTGAACTGAGGGACATTTGGAAGGGCCTCAGAAGCAAGGTCATTCCGACCTTCTCCTGTCCTGTCTCCTGCTGCCCTTTGTCCCCCAAGGTATGCTATTGGAATTAAATTCCTCTTTTCTGAGGCAGGTCATGGAAACTACAACACATTTCCCCATAGCCAGCTGTAGTAGTCACTTTCTCATTGGTGGGACAAAATACCCAACACCTGTAACTAAAAGAAGGAGAGATTTATTTGTGTCTAGGTTTCAGGGTATTCAGTCCATGGTCAGCTGGCTCCAAGGCAGAAGCATCATAGTGGAAGGCTGTGGCTGAGGAACCCCTCTGTAGCCAGGAAGCAGGGAGAGAAGAGCTGAGAACAGGAATACACCCTTGCAAGTCATGTCCCTAGTGACTCACCTCCTTCAGCCAGGCACCACTGGCTAACAGGGCAGTCACCTATTATTGCCTGCTAGCATGGGTTCTTGCTTTTAGTGATAATAGAAATTAAAAGCAAAGCATGAATTTACAGGAAAAAGCTTTAAGTGGAAAGTAAGAGAAAATGGTAAGGGACTTAAGCTTGAAGAGCTGACAAAGATCAGGCTGACCCTTAACAAAGGAGAATAAGAAAAATAGGAAAAGACTTCAGCTTGGGCAGATGGAGGGGCATACTCTGGTGAAAGGATCAGACTGGCCCACCCACAAAGGCTGGAAGCCTGCTCTTAGGGATTAGCTGGTGGGCTGGGGTCTGTTGAACATTATCCCAATCCTGATTTCATAGCTCTGGAGTCCTCAGGGTTGGAGGAGCAGTTTGGTTCTGTGAAATGATTGTCTATATTGCGGTGGTTTCAGTTATGCGCACCTCTGCTTTTCCTGGAATCCAGGTGATCACAAGTATAGAACAATGGTTGGAGACCTCTGGGCTAGTTGAATGTCCCTGTAAATTCCTTATCTTGGTGTCCTTAGTCTTGAAGGAGGATAAGGTTGTATGAGGTAAGGGCTAATTAACCTTGTTTTCTGTACTTTTAGGCAGAAACTTTCTAAATGATTAACATACCTGTATGTTGCTGAGAAGGGAGTCCACCCCTGAGTTTTAAGATAACAAAGGATACAAAGTGAAGGCTGAGCTTTGATCTATTTTTAGTTACCTGATAGGCATCTGTAGGTGCAAAATGAAGAGTTACAGTAGACAGCAAAACTACTTTTAAGTTTCTGACTCTTTTAGAAGAAAACAAAAATTGACCTTCTGATGAGCAACAGGCTAAGGGCCTGGGAGCCTGCCAGTTCCTTGTCCCTGTAGTAGTCTCTGACGATGTCATTGTGAGCTCCTTAATAAGGCATTAATCTGCTGATGAGGACAGCACCTCCATGATCTGTCACCTTCCCCCAGAACCTCTGAACATGTGAGAGTTTGGGGGGACACTGTAGATCTAAACCATAGAACCAGCTATAAAACTTAAAAATATTACTCTAACCTTTCCCTGCCTTTCTGTGAAAGAGCTAGCCATAAAGAAATTCTCTGACCTACTCTTATCTGATGATAAGTTATAGGACTCTTCTTGTAGGGGTCCTCCCTTATATTTAGGAGGAAGAAATGCTATATCAGAGCAGCCAGGAGCAGTCTGGACAGACAAGCTGGCTGGGTTCCCCATGCCTACTTTCTTGTCAGATGGTACCCTTTTTGTCTGTGTTTCTACACAGCTGTCCATGCCCTATTACCCTAAGCATAAAAGTAGACAGATTTCACTGTCTTTGGGTCTTCATTCCTCAGACTCCCGAACCACATGAAACTTTAAATAAATTTGTTATGTTTTTCTCTTGTTAACCTGTCTTTTCCTATGAAAGTGTCTGCCGCCACCCAAATGATGAAGAAAAGTGTTGTGCCCTTTCTGCCCCTACAGAAGGGCCAGGATGGTCTAAATAAGTGAAGCAGCCTGGGCAGAACAGTGAGGAGACCCTAGAAAACTGAACAGCACTTGGAGTGGGGCCCCTGTTTCTCATACTCTAGGATTTTGCTACCAAATGGATTGTAGACATGGAATTTTAGAAATTCTAACTTTTTAAGAAACAAATTTTTAAAATCCATTTTTTGGAGTGTGATGTTTGCAGTGTTTACTCTTTATGTGGGAAGCAAATTATTGTAGCCTTCTTATTGGGGGAGGGGTACTCGGGATTGAACCCAGGGCCTTTGCACCAAGCTACACCCCCAGCCCTTTTCCTAGTTTTATAGGATCTTGCTAAATTGCTGGGCTTGAACTTGCCATCCTCCTGCCTTAGCCTCCCAGAGTTCTGGAATTATAGGTGTGTTGTACTACACCTTGCATAGCCTTCTGATTTTAATCCTGTCCCCCTGTAGACCTTGGCTGGTGGCTGCAGTTGGTTCCATCCATGCTAAAGAGGTGAGCATGGCAGTTCATGCTTGTAATTCCAGCTACTCAGGAGGCTGAGGCAGGAGGATTGCAGGTTTGAGGCCAGCCTGGGCTACATAGTGAGACTGTCTCAAAATAAAATAAAAAGGGCTTGGGATATAGACCAATGGTAGAGCACTTTATATGCAAGGCCCTGAGTTAAAGCCCCAGTACTACACACACACACACACACACACACACACACACACACACACACACAGACACAATGTTTTAAGGTAGTGATATTTAATACCTATTTTTGACATTTGATTTTGAAAAAAAATATTTCTAAGTTCCAAAGATCTGAACTACAAATAAATTTTTGCATGTCTGTTAAAACTGAATATATAAATACTGTGTATGTGTGTAGCTTCACACTGAGCTACATCACAGTTTTTTAAAATTTTGAGGCAAGATCTCACTAAGTTACTAAGTTGCCCAGGCTGGGCTTGACCTTGTGAACCTCCTGCTTCAGCTTCCCAGAGTGCTGAAATTACAAGTGTGTGCCATCACACCTGGCTTATGGGTACTCTTTAACTCTGCCACAGGGATGTATAATATATAATTAAAATAATTTATCAAAATGAAGAACAAAATATGACCCCCTCTGACCTAGTTCCTAATCTTTTCACATTCATTTATGAGATTTAGGCTGGGGATTTAGCTCAGTGGTTCCACTGCCTGACTCACAAGTGCAAAGTCCCGAGTACCAATCCCTGGTACCAAAAAAAAAACCAAAAAATTATGAGATTTAAATACCTCAGATACTTTAACAGAATTACATGTTTATTCCTGGGTTAAGCCAGTTGTCTTTTTAGGGGTTTTGTACTCATAGAAGATTTCTATAGGGCCACGATGGACAGAATGCTTCCGAAAGCCTCAGGAAGCAGGAGGGGCTAACCTGGGAAGCCACAGATACTAAATACTGAAAATTTGTGTAAGAGATGAGATAGAACCAGTGGATCCCATGTTTTAGTTTCCAGGAGCTAAATTGGCCTTATGTTTAGTCCTATATCAAAGACTTAACAAGTCACAGTGTTTACTTGTTTTCTCATAAAATATATCAAGAAACCTTAAACCTCTTGTGCAATGGGTAGAAACTTATTTCAGCTAAAGCAAAAAGCCAAAGTACCTACTGATACATACTGTAATGATAGAGTTTCCAATAGGAAAATACTCTTCAATTAATATGAACTTGAACAAATCATATAACCTTTTAAAACTTCGTTTAAGCAATCTGTAAAATGAACATATCATAGGTTGTCTTTGAGTATTGAATAAGTTGGAATATCTAAATTATTCTATCTACCACATAGACAACATTTAATATGATTGTTGTTATTGATTTTATTATTTGTTTTGATCAGGGCTCTCCAGGCCATTCTAGGACTCTTGTTATTATTTTTTAACATCTTTAATGAGATATAATTTACATATCATAAAATTTACTCATTTAAAGTATACAGTTCAGTAGTAAATTTGGGTCATGCAACCATTGCCACAATCTAAGTTTAAAGCATTTTCATCACCCCAAAAGAAACCTTGTACCAGTTGGTTGTCACTCATTATTCCTCTATCCTCAATTCCCCACAGCCCTAGGGACCACTAGTCTACTTCCTGTCTCTCTGGATTTTCCTGTCTTAAAGAGTGCATAGTAACTCAGTTATATCACACACGACCTTTCATGATTGGCTGCTGAGCATGTTTTCAAGGTCTATCTGTATTGTAATACTCCATTTCTTTTATTGTCATATATTGCTGAAAATCTACCATATTTCACTTATCCATTCAATTGATGGATTTGGGTTGCTCACACCTTTTGGCTGTTATGAATAACATTGCAGTGAACAGTCAGACAAGCTCCTGAATTGGTGTGTGCTTTTATTTGTATAGGAATGGAAATGCTGGGTCATATGCTAACTATGTTAAATGATTTTGGGAACTGCCTCATTACTTTTTTGGTGGCTATTTATATCACTTTACATTTCTACTAAGAATGTTTGAGGGTTCCAATTTCTCCATACCCTCATCAACATTATTGTTATTTTCCATTTAAAAAGTTATAACTACCCTAGTGGGTATGAAGTTGTATGTTATTGCAGTTGTTTTGGATTTTTCAAATGACTTATGGAATTGACTGTCTTTCTCTGTGTTTTTAGCCATTTGTATACATTCTTTGGAGAGAAATATCTACTTAAATTCTTTGCCCATTTTGTAGTTGGGTTAATTACCTTTGATTATTGAGTTGTAAGAGTTAAAATATCTTCTGAATGAGTCCCTTATCACATATATGATTCACAAATACTTTTAATGCATTCTGTAGGTTGTCTTGATGTTATTTTTATTAACTGATAAATCTGGAGTATCTCTTCCTTCTATATTTATTGTTTCTACCTCAGTACCTTAAATACTTAAATAGAATTACATGTTTATTCTTGGGTTGAGTTTATCCTCTTAACGGACATGTATTAACTCTCTTTCCAGCCTCTGTTTCTCTACCTTGCTCTCCAGTCTGTCCACGAGCCCCTTCAGGTCCCAGAGGAATACCTGAAGCCATATGACTTTATCCAAGATAAGAACAGGCATCTCTATGCAGGAATGGTGTCCCTTATGGATGAAGCAGTAGGAAATGTCACTGCAGCCTTAAAAAGTCACGGGCTCTGGAACAACACAGTGTTCATCTTCTCCACAGGTGAGTCTGTCAATAGGAAACTTAACTTTTGGCAAAGCTGGGCACGTGGTTCGATAAGTGGAATGAAGACAAATTGGAGCAGTTAGCATTTCTGTATTAAAATAAATGCTGGCTGTAGCAGTGGAGACATGATCATAATGGATAGAAAGATGTGTCTCAGGAAAAAGAATTGAGGGCTTTCCTCTTTTCTTTCAGATAGTGAAATATTTTTGGAGTGTGGTGAAAACGGGTGCTTACTTGCCGACCTAATGTGCATGGATACCCTCACAGGGTGGGCAGCCAGCTGGGCGTGTCCGTGGGTGGGCAGCTGGCTTGTCCATAGTGCTCTCTGCAACCCAGCATCCTCTCTGGGTGATTTTGCTTCAGGGTGTGACTTATGAAGACAGATAAGAAATGGAGTCAGTTAAACCTAGGCTCAGGTCTCTGTATTGATTTTGGTGTATTAAAATAATCTTCTGACCATAAAAATCATGCATGTTGTTACATGAAAAACAGAACAGAAGAAGAGAAAAAGGAAACTCATAATGTCTATACTCAGAGGTACCGTGGAAACCATTTTCACTTTGGCAATGCCTTTTTGATTCCTAAGCTGTTACATATGTGATTTTTTTTTTGCCCTTCCTTAGACATCGATTTCTCAAATTTCACCCCTGTGCCTCAGGAGTACTCGGTAAGCACTTTTTTTTTTTTTTTTTGGTACCAGGGATCCAACTCGGGACCTTGCGCTTGCGAGGCAGGTGCCGGTACCACTGAGCTAAATCCCCGGCCCCCCAGTAAGCACTTTCTATCTGAAAATGCAAAACTGTTTTAAATGGGAAATTTTCTTGTATTATTTATGTCAGAATTGTTTGGTTCTCTATTCTCTCTCTTCTATCTTCTCTTTACAGAATTCCTGCTATTGGGGTGTTAGATCAATCCTCTGATGTTCCTAGTTTTTTCTTCTCTTTTTTTTTATATTTCTTCTACTGTTTGGAAATTTTCTTTATCAGTATTTTGTAAACTTTTACTGAATTTATTTCAGTCATGTTCTTTAGTTACCAAGAATTTGTTTTTTGATAATTTCTTTTTTATAAAGTTTGATTTTTACTTTGTACATATAATAAAGTATTTTTCTAAAGCCTATGCTTTAACCATTAATTTTATGGGTGTATATGTATGTGTTTATGTGTGTGTGTGTATATATATATATTTGTATGTATTCGTGTGTATATGTATTTAAATTTGGGGTTTTTTTTGTTTTCTTTTTGGCTTCTTGAGACAGAATCTCACTATGTAGTTCAGGCTAGCCTTGAACTCACTATGTAGCTCAGGCTGGCCTCAAACTTTCAGGATCTTCCTGCCTCAGCCTCTTGAGGCTGGCATGTGCTGTCATGCTTGGCTAAGTTTGCTTGCATTCTCAACATTTTCTTTCTTTTTAAAGTTTTTTTTTCCGCTATGTTTGTATCTTTGTTTTAGTTTGTCTTTCATGAGGGTAACTTTCTGAAATCCCTAGTGATCTTTGGCCACAACCTGAAAATTTGGTTGGAAACTTCACGTGTGAGGTCGGGTCCTATTATCTGGTGACTTTTATGGTAAAGTGACTGTGTAGGGGCGAGGGGACAAGTTGAGGAATTAATCTTGGTGTTCTAGTCATGGTTTTTGGTTGCTATTTTTTGAAGTGTTTTTGCTTTTAATCAGGCAGAGTTATTGAATCTAGCATTTACTGAATGCTTACCATAAACAGGACACAGTTCTAAGTGCTTCCCTTGGTTACTTCAACTAATCCTCACACTATTTCATTTTCTGAGTGTGGCTTTTGTTGTTTCATTTCAAAGATATGAGAACTGAAGCACGGAGAGGCTGCATCACTTTTCCACATCACACAGCTGGTGGATCCAGGCATCAGTGTCTCTGGCCAAACTGCAGTAGAGATCTTTTTTTTTTTTTTGCAGTAGGGATCTTGATGTTCTTTTGGGGCCTCTTAGAAGAGCAGAGCTTTCCCCATGATAAGCTGCAGGATTGACCTGCCATGGAGCCAGGTGGCAGGGGTTGTGTGTACCTGAGCAGCCTTGTTCACTTACTTTAATTCCATCCATACACTGTAATTTTCTCTGCTGTGTAAAAAGTTGAATATAAGATAAAAATTGTTTCCCCCCCCAAAAAATGTATCCTTTAGACAAGCAAGAGACATCTTAAACTTAAATTCTTGTAAGATCTTTCTTCATCTGGTAGTCCTTCTCAGTTCACTTTGATTTGTTTCTTTTTTCTTCTGCTAATAAGAATTGAACCCACATCCTTGGATTGAATTACATCCCTAGCCATTTTTATTTTTGAGACAAGGTTTCACTGAAGTTGTCCAGGCTGGCCTCCAACTTGTAATCCTTCTGTCTCAGCCTCCTGATTAGCTGGAATTGCAGGCATGCACCACCATGTCTGGCTCAATTTATTTTATTTGAAAAGCCTGGTATAGTATTTTCATCATGCTGGTGTAGAATTCTCTAAAAAGAATCAATAAAAAAGGAGGCAAGACATTTAGTGCTGATTTAGTAGTTATTCCTGGGAAGTGACTCCACAGTTGTAAGAATTGGAAGCCGTAAGTTTATAAAACAAATCTTTGTTGTAGAGCTCTCAGTTACACAATTTCAGGACAAATGATTTTCTGAAATGAAAATACACGTGGATTAATATATCATTCATGGACCAAAGGTCCTCAGAAGTGAAGATGGTAGCTCTAGAAGACTGCTAAATTCTCTAAGTGGCTCTTGTAACAACAGAGATAATATCAAGAATGCATGGGAAAAGTAGAATAAAATTTTTTCATGATATGTGAGAATAAAAAAATATTTGAAGATCAGTATTTTGTTATATAATTTCAACTATGTGTGCATAACTATTTTAAAATAGGGAGTTGACTATTACATAAATATCTATAACCTTTTATTTATTTAGGTTGGCAGAAATAATATTTGAAGCTTCTCTCTGAAAACCTAGGGATTACCTTTTAACAACATTTTTAGTGATATAGTAGCAGATGTATTAATTGCAGGCCATCTTTGTGGGGCCAAAGCCAATTTAATTGTGTCTATGCACTTTGTAATACTGCTGAATTAAGTTGGCTAGGGTTTTATTTAGATTGTTTTTCATCATTCAGAAGTTAAAGTGGGCTTGGTGACTTCCTTTTCAGGTTTTGTTGTCTTAATTCACTTGATAGAATTCTTGGGATGGTTTTTCTGTCTTTTTCTGTGCTCTGAAATTGTTTATAGAATATCTGTCTGAACAACCTCTGTCTAAGCTGCTCCTCAGAACCTTCTTTGGAGGTTTTTTAAAGATTATTTCCAAAGTTCAAATTTTTTGCTTATTTATATCTGGGTAGATACCATTAAACTTTAAAAAAATTAATTTTGTTTGAAATATAGTGAGCCCTTTGATCTGCATGCTGATATTCTTCACTCCAGGAAATTTTCTGTGTTCATATTTTAGCTTATTACTTTTGTTCTGCTTGATTTATTTCTCAAAAAAAACTTTAATAGATTGAATCACTAATTCATCCTTTTCCACATCCTTTTCAAGCCTTTTACCCTCCTGAGCCTTCTGGCACTCCTGTGCATGACCAATTAGACATTTTTGCAATTTTAGTTCTGCTCTTCAGGATCTCCAATGTATGGTGGTACCTCAGTTTGTGAATTTAATTCTTCCCACGATTCTGGTCACAAACCAAATTGGTTGGGAACCGAATCCAATTTCCCCATAAGGTCAGCGTTGAACCTAACCATTGAATTTGATAACCAGTTTGGCTTGCGACCAGAATCGTGGAAAGAATTAAGTTTGTGAACTGAGATGCCACTGTATGTAGATCATTGTGATTGTTTTTTTCATTTTCTTTGCAGGATCTCCTTCCTTTCTTTGCCTCAATCAGTTCTTTTTTCTTGTAAGCTTCTTAGTACTAATAATGAGCATTGTTCATTAAATCCTGACTGCGGGATCCAGGTCCTGGTCCCTTGTTTTCCTTATTCTTTCTCACTGCTGCTCATGGTGTGAGCATTAAAACTCAAAGTAACTTCATGAGATTGTTCCTGATCCCCATTTCACCAAGGAAGAAACCAAAACCTGAAGTTAAGTGACTCTTCACACATGGAAGAGTCAGCCTTTAAACCTAGGTCTGTTTGAGGTCAGTATTTAATGACCCTTACCCCTGTCCTTTTGTATTTCCTTTCCCTTTTGTCTCATCCCATCGTCCACTATCTGTCTCTACTTCTTTTCTCAGACCCATCCTTTTCTGGACTATCTGAATAGAACTGTTCTAAAATCCCCATTCTCATGCTACATCATTAACAGCTATATCCTTTCCCCCGGGTATCAGAAGAGATGAAGGATAGATCCACACAGGGTTCGGGGGCCTCTCCTGGTCTCAGGTCACTGTTGCCTGGATGATTGCTTCTCAGATCTGAAGCTTGAGGTCAGGTTGAGGTGCACAGCTTGGCAAATTCCTCTGGCTTTCAGGCAATGAGCATCCTGTGCTCTCCTGCGCATGCTGAACCTGGTTCCATTATTTTCTCTTGTGGCTGCCTGATTCTTTGACAAGCTAATGGAACCCCAGAACACAATGATTTGATCTTTCTGCATGCCTTCAGGGCTTTGTCTTTGGGGACATCCTCAGGCCACCGTGCATCCCTTTCTCTTCTCCTGCCCATTGTCGTCTGGCAGTGAGACTTCTCACTGCACAAGGGAGTTGAGGAGTTCAGCTTCTCTGGTCAGGCCAGAAGTCAGCATCACCCTCTCCCAGGCTGTTGCCACCTCTGCTGGGTCGGGTGGCTCCGTGCTGTGAGGCCAGGTAGCGCAGGTCAGCTCCTGCTTCCTCTTCCCAGCATAGTTCATGAAAACGATCCCACAGTGCTGACCTTACAAGCTGTCTGTCCATTATAGTTTCGCGTGTTTGATGGGGTTTTTTACTTGTTCTATTTGTTCTTTTAGCAGGATATTGGTTAAGAGAACCACTAGTGGAAACTGGGAAGATACTCTTC